CCGATAATGCAATCGAGTGGCGATTTAATATAAGCTACATTTCGCAATATATTTCGCTAACTTGTGATTATTTTCGTTAAATTTTATAATTTCACTGCAGTTTTAATTTAAATTCAGTCGTTTAGTGGGCTGCCTATGGGAAAGCAAGTTAATTTTGGCTTGGAAATAAGTATGAAAGAAACAAATTATCTAATATCTTTACAACATTTACCGTTTATTCATTTGTGTCATTCAGACTTATTTCCGAGTCAAAACTGAACTGAAGGTCATCGGACATATGTCCGACCCAAATTCAACGTCACCGGACATTTTGTCAGACGGCCCTGTAAAAGATATTTTAAGGCCTGCATCATTTCTCTTTGGCGTATACCATCTAAAATCTCTTCATTTTAGCATTATTTTACATATAAAGCACTAAACATACTTTTAAGTTTGTTAAAATGCTGTGCTGAGTGGTTATATTACTACCTTAAAAAACAAACAGAAACTCGACGTTTCGAGCGAAAGCCCTTCGTCAAGAGTTAGTAACGTCGAAACGTCGTGTTTGAATCATCGTCGTCTCGAAACGTCGAGTTCGAATCAACGACGAGTTTCTGCTTGTTTTTTAAGGTAGTAGCCTAATCATATGGCCTAATATAACCACTCAGCACAGCATTTTAACATCGGTACTACCAACACTGGTACAGACAGTTTTAAGTTTGTTTGCTGCTTGAGAAACGTATAAAAAATTTAAAAAGTTGAATATAGTCATACCAAGTGGAAAAGTATATTCATCAGTTTTGAGCGCCTGTTACGTAACATGCAAAGTATTCTCCTTTTAAACCGTCGTCAAAATTTAATCTGTGTCATATGCCAGTTTAAATTTGTTTTATATTTTAAGGTTGATGTTGAAAGTGCCGTTTTCTTCGCTCCAGCAACACACCTTGCATACGGTACGCGATGGTTTCCCAACATATACTTTGAAATGTTTTATGTACTGTTTAAAACACGCGTAGGCGTGTTTTATCATATTTAAAATACGAGCGCGCTGCACGAGCACTTTAGATACGATAAAACACTCCTACGCGTGTTTTGAATAGCTTCAAACACGACTACAATAGATGCCGTCTCTTTATATAAAGAATACTAATTTATAGGATGGACTTTTATATAAAGAATACTAATGAGGATGCGTTTTATCGTACTAGTTAATACATGAGCAGCCGAACTTTATCTGACATACAAACTCGAGCCGAAAGCGAGAGTTTGTATAACAGATAAAGATGGATGCATAACGTGCTTAAAAAACGCCCCATCGTATGAGTTCATTGGCGAAGTAATTTTAAAAATAAACATTGTCTAAGCCGAGAAAATCAAAATTGAAGTTTATGTAAATGAGGACAAATCTTTATCCCGATTTACAAACATTGATTAAACATTAATTTATTTTGTATTTTCTCGTGAATTATTGATGAGTTTTTTAATGAGTGTTTGAAATTCCAGTTTTCCACTTCATTATAGATAATCTACCAGCAGATTGCTACGATATTCCTCAGAACTTCATTCGTCAATTACATAAACGCCGCTCAACTGCCGAATCAATATCAGGCTTAGTACTCAGTCTCCCTACGTTGAAAATCCGCAGCTCTGGTCACCAGGATCTCGCCATTTGCCACGACATATTACGTCATCCATTAACCCTCCCACTACGTGACCAACCGGAGACGTTACCATGGATACTGACCGCTGACCATGCGTCCGTGTTTACAGTATGGAGAGGAGGGGATAAAAAGGACATTGAGGTGTATTTTGTGCTCAATCCCATGTGCTGTAGGGCGATGTTAGCCTCGGCTAAAACATCGCATTCAGGAAATGTAGCAAGCCACACCGAGGCTCTAAAGGCTACACTAGATTTTGTTCTACATACAGATTTCAATCCTTTGACAATGAATTGCTCAAAAAAACAGGTAAATTTATATACAGGGTGTCCCAAAAAATGTGACACTATAGAAATTATCCTATTTAGTTAAATTTGCATGCCTGAGCACAATGGTGAACACGAGAGTGCGTAAACATAATTGAATTTTTTAATTACCAGGCGCATGAAATAGAATAGAATAGAATAGAAACTTTATTTCACGAGGGAAAATTATTAACCGTAAAAGTTATCTAACATACGGCCCTCGCACTATTTTGATATTTACAGGCATAAAAAGTATTAAGGATTACGACTATTTACATTTGAGAAAAAAATAATTAGTAATGAATACAATTACAATTTAGTAAATATTTACAATTTATACAAAATAGATCTTCGATATGGTTAGTAAGAGTAAGCTTGTTAAGAAAGATTCTACGAATTTTTTGTTTGGCGTTAGTATATGAAGAGCAAGAGAGCAAATCCTGTGCTTAACAACAATAGGATAATTTCCATACTGTCACTTTTTTGGGACACCCTGTATTTGGAAATTAATTATATAAATTCTTGTTTTTTTGTTGTTTTTAAATTGTTGTTGTTGTCGTTGTCGTTGTCGTTGTCGTTGTCGTTGTCGTTGTCGCTATTGTCGTTCGCTGATGATGTTGTTGTCGTCGTTGTTGTTACTGCTGCCGCTGTTGTTGTCGTTTGCTGCTGTTGTTGTTGTCGTTTGCTGCTGTTGTTGTTGTCGTTTGCTGCTGTTGTTATTCGTGGCTTTCCTTGATATTGTTATGCATAATTCATTCCTAGGTCGATCTTCTCTTTCAACTTTATTCCAACGCAGTCCAGTTAACATCTTCCGTCGGTACCGATGCTTCATTTAATGAGAACGAGTCTTTATACCCTGCGAGGTCGATATCTGCTACTGTAGCCAGCCAAAGTCGCACTACAAGACGAACAAATTCAATTACGTCATCTTCAGGATTCGACGTTGTCGACGACGAGTCGGTGTCTTCCGAAAGTACTCCGAAGCCCAGTGTGACGTCATTGGAAACACCAACGGTTTGTACTCAGTGATAAATTATTTTTATCAGGGCTTAAATGGCTGTTTATATAGATAGAGATAGATAGTGTATATATGAGCACATCTCGGACTGACCCAGGGGCGCCCGATCATGAGGCGCCCGATCAACTGGATAATCTTTTAATTTTTAAGTAGTTTCAAATCGAAAATTTGTCCAATAAAGTATGAATTTGACTTTCGTGACAAATCTTATAAAAGTATACAGTGAGTTGAACTTATAAATGTTTTTCAGATATCACCTTCGCTAGTTCATGTGTCACTCTGGGTTCAGTGGACATTACCCAAGCTATCGTTCAATTTATTTGGCAATGACAGGGGATCAGATTTACGTATTACTACGGAGATGGAAGATTGGTCTGCCTCGTTTGATTATCAGAATGGACATTTCAAAGCGCAGTGTAAAGTTGGCAATCTCAGTATCACGCATTATGAAATCGGGTAAGAAAGTCGATTAGTGTATACTGTAGAGACGGCTATTTGCCAATGTGTGCCTTTTTATCAAATGCGAACCGTTTGCATTTGAAAACCCCTCGGGTACTAATTTTAATAATTTCTTTACTGGAATTTACCTTTTTTTGCCTAGATCAAAAATTAGTCTAACATGCAAGTTGCCTATTGGGTAAAAACAAACGTTAGCCAAATTTGTTTGCATTCAGAAAAGTTCTGTGTAAAATTTCATCGTCTTTCATTTATAGGTCATCTGGCCAGTGGACGACAGGTCCTGGTGGTGGTACCATCTTAGCCCGCCAAGATTCTCTTTCAAGTTCCCTTTCAAAAGTTCACGACAGCAAGAGCGATGACTCGGATCCAGGTCGTCATGGTTTTTTGTACGTCGAATATACCGCGTCCTCAGTGATCGTCCCATCATTCAAAGCGGCCTTTGAACACGATGACGTATTTCAAAATTCTTTCGGTTACTCCCAGGATGTTCACGTGACCATACAGCCGTTTGATTTTATCCTGTGGTGTCCACTATTGTACACAATTACCACTGTGTTTCACACATTCGCCTCGCTGCAAAGTGACTCGGTCGGGAAATGCGAATCTCAAGGGGTGCCCCTCCTAGACCCCGGCGTAGAAACCCATAAAATTTTGACCAATTTGCCAGAGATTAATTTAAAACTCAGAGGATTTCGAGTTGTTGTTCCTTCGTGTATCGATCCGCGCATGTTCACGGGTAAACAAGACCACAGCAACGTTGTAAACAATTCTGATTTGTTTACAATCCAAGCAACGTCTCTTCTAGTTTCGTCGCGACTCGAAAATCCGATATCGCGTTTGGTGTTGGACAAAAAACTCAGTAAAGCACTGACTGCATTCGCCCGCAGTCGTCGCGGGTCAGCAGCAGAGAGGGGTTTGGGTGATACTCAGTATAAGATAGAAGTGAAAGGTCTTCGTATTTGGTCTGGATGCTGGGAGGAGTTATGTCGGATGCTGCCCAATCAAGATCCCAGCAGGATAGAGAGGGATCTCTTGGAACAGAATCCTGCATTGGAGTGGAATACGCATAGTGGGTGGGTATCAATACTATCCTATTTTATCCTAATTTACCCATCACTACCATGCTATATACCAACAGGGTAGATAGGAATCTCTTGGAACAGAATCCTGCATTAGAGTGGAATACTAATAGTGGGTGGGTATCCAATACTATCCTATCCTATTTTATCCTAATCTACCCATCACTTGCCTCCTCAAGTGTCAGATATTTTCACAGAAAAATGGATGATCGTGCAGTCAGAAAGTGTTTTTGTCAAACTGAAAGATTAGAAATCTGCTTGGTTCTTGGTTTATAAAGGCATTTTGTGCAGATTCTTCAGAAATGTTTTGAAGTTTTTTTATAATTTGAAACATTTTGCTACAATCGCAAAAATTTTTGCGCAGGAAATTGTTTCCTTCAAAGCCAAAACCAGCACTTGTGGTGCCGTGGCCACCACGCTTGCCTTTCTAGCAGGGAGACCTAGGTTCAAATAGACCTTTCCCCTTATAACCAAAATTTTGATCTAGGCAAGTCTAGACAAATATTTCATCACAGCTTGAAAGAGCATCACAAAATTAGTAATATTCCAAAGTTTCGTTGCGAAATGTTGTAAAATGAGGAAAATAGAGCCTTGCGAAGTTTGCAATTTTCAGTCATTTTGTATTACAAATGGGAAATTGATGCCCCAACACCCGATTGGGCTGTCAATTTCCCGTGCATAATACAAAATGACTGAAAAACGGCAAACTTCGCAAGGCTATATTATCCGCATTTTACAAGATTTTGCAACAAAACTTTGGAATATTACTAATTTTGTGATGCTCTTTCAAGCTGTGATGAAATTTTTGTCCAGATCGAAATTTTAGTTATAAGGGGAAAGGTCCATTGAGGAGAAAGTGGTACCTTTACATTGAACATCAGTAAATGGTTAGACTTCTCGGATAAGGACGTTAAAATCATAGGCACCTCGGATCCCCGATAGAAAACCCCCTGAGAAAAATCCCCTGAGAAACTCGATAAACTAAGAACTTTACAGTCTTGTGACAATTATAACTCCTTTTCCAATTTACTTTAGTCAAGATCGTTCGAGTGCCTTGGTAATACCAGTGGTTTCTGACTTGGATATAAAATGCATCGTTGCGCCACCTATCTCACTCACGACGTCAAGCAAATCACAACGTTGGAATAAACCTATCTTTGGTTTATCATTTGAAGTCAACCTTACCACTGATGTGGAGTGTTTCATCAGTAAAACTCAGGTAAATTGTACCCCAGCACGTCACTTTAAAGCGCATACACCCCTATGCAAATAGTTTAGCTATAGACTAAATTTTGATCTAGGCAAGAAGACCAAAATCCATCACCACAGCTAAAAGAGCATGTTAAAATTAGTAAAATTGCAAAGTTTGTCCTCGAAATGTTTTAAAATGCGTCAAATATAGCGCTGCGAAATTAGCAAATTTTGTATTAATTTGTATCACGCGCGAGAAAATGCACCACATTTGGGCCAAAGTGGTACATTCTCCCGCGCGTAATACAAATTAATACAACATTTGCAAATTTTGTAGGGCTATATTTTCCCCATTTTACAACATTTCGTGGCAAAACTTTGCAATTTTACGAATTCTAACATGCTCTTTGTATAGCTGTGGTGATGGATTTTGTTCTTCTTGCCTAGATCAAAATTTAGTGTATAGCTGAAATTGTCTATTTTTTGCTAGTCAGTCAAATATTGTTGTCCATTGTTAATTTTCCAACTGGCAATAAATTCCGCTGCGAGCCTTAAACGGGATGCGTTGTAAAGAAGAGCAATAACATTGTCTACCGAAAGTTAGGAACACTTAGTACCTCCACAATAAGTGTTTGTCCTGTGTTAAGCCGGTTTTCCACTTGCGAATTTCTTTCCGCGAAGCGAATTTTTCTTTTGTCTTTTTCTATTATTTCCAGATGGTTCCAGTTGAGTGACCAAAGACAAATGAAAAATTCGCGCAAAAAAATCCGCAAGTGGAAAACCGGCTTTAATATTTTTTTTATCTGCGTTTGTCTGTGTTTGGTTACATTATTTCATGACAGATAGATCTCATCAAATTAAGTTTTACCTTCGATATCCTGTAAATAGTATACATTATTTGATTTTGTACCTTAGGTACAGCTCATGCAAACTATTCTCAAAGAAAACATTACGAACAGCGGTTTGTCCAACGATGACGTCACCAGTGACGTAACTACTGACACTCCAACCGCTTTTTCCCATCCGCCACGAGTAGCTGCGCCCGAGGAGAAACTGGACAGCGGTTGTGGCAGTGAATGCTCCCATAAAAACCGCCACGTGATTAAGTCCCGTGACAGCAAGCCCGATGTCCAAGAGATGGAATGTCTCGCCACTGCCGGGGGGTTATCTGTGTTTGTCTACGAACATTCTACGACGGGGGAGGCGTGGACTCAGTTGGTTCCAGTAGTACGTGTGTCCCTTATACAACCAGCTTTTAATTGTACAAGGCGTGCAGACAGTGATACGATTCAAATTTCATGTTTTGATATATCTCTGGCTAAATGCAAGTCCAACACGAGGAGTGCAGGTGCGTGTCTTTGTCGGTTGTGCATTCTAGTTAAAGCCAAATTGCTTTCTTATGTGTAACCCAATACACCCCTCCGGTAAATGCCCAGTCCTGGCTATACAGTGTGTCCCAAAAAAAAGGTTACCCTTTGAAGTCAAGCGTTAGTGCCGCATGTTCGAATTTGAATGCTTTAACTCCCTAATGAGCCCTGGAATGCGTAAGACGTTATAGCAGAGCATTTTTATGCATGCATTGCAAATTAATTGAAATTTGTTCCGCTAAAATAACACAGAATGGAATGCATGAATATACATGTATAACGTTTTACGCATTCCAGGGCTCATTAGGGAGTTAAAGCATTCAAATTCGAACATGCGGCACTAGCGCTTGACTTCAAAGGGTAGCCTTTTTTGGGACACACTGTACCAGTGTGTATACAAAAACCTGCAAACACTATAATTTGCATAATTCTGCTGCTTAATAGCATTTCATTGTCTGTGCTACTTATTTTGCTCCTGGGATTTGAAAATACATTCTAATTAACCGCGCTGATAGAAATTAGAATAACACAAAATTATTTGTAATGTAGAAAACTAATTATTAGTTCGTCTGCGAATGGGTCAACTATTGTGTTTACGCACGCTTGGAATCAATTAGTTCTGCATCATGCAAATTATAAAAACATCGTATTTCAAAGGGTTTGCACATTTTTATATACAGGGTGTCTAAAAAAGTAATACTTAGAAATCACCCTTTTGTTGTAAACACCCAAATTTTATTACCTCTGGGAGTTTAGAATACGTTGTAATCGTACGAGCATATTAAAACCCACCCCTGGCCAAAACCTTTACAAAAGGATACTATTCAGTTGCCACACACGTCCTTTACCACTTCTGTTACATGAGTTTGATAACTGCTCGTGCAATTTTATGCAGTCAAAATTTTCATGTTGTCCGCACATGTACTTTCTACACCACTCCTGACAAATCGGACTTCTGACAAATCGGACTCCTGACAAATCGGACTCCTGACAAATCGGAAAATGATCAACATAGTCCTATTTTATTACCCAACCCTTAAGTTGTTTTGTTTTTGTATTTACCCAACCTTTTACTCACTGGTAATTTTGTTTTTCAAAGGTTGTGTTAGTCCCCCTAAACAACGAAATATGTAAAAAAAAAGGGTTTCCTCTGTTATAGATAACACTCAACTGGTGCCCTCGGCACAGGATTATGATGTCATTTGGTTTCGTACTGGAGATGGCAGTCCAGACAAACATACTGAGCTCGCACCTGCATTCGCGAACTTCACATGCAAGCTATATCCATCTTCACCTGGTAATTATTTTGCAAAATTCATTTAGAAATCGTTTCCGTTCTTTCAATTTCTAAACTCCCAAGAAAGTTGTTATACTGGTTAGATCTATAATAAAAGTTCAAAATTGACACTCGAAATTGTAAAAAAAATTGTGATTCTTAACCATTGAGAAAAATGTGGAATCTATAAACAAACTTAATATTTTATCGTTTCTAGCTGATCTCAAGTTAGACTTTGGCAGACCGATCTGGATTGATGTTGACCTAGGACTGTTAGAAAGACTACAAGACTTCTCCACTGATCTCAATATGCAAGAAACGAAACTGGACAATGAGCATCAAACTAGTTCAGAATCCGACGTGATGAATATTGTTCGTTCTGTGGCTATATCAACAGATTATGTTGCAATTACCGCGACTGCTGGTCAGGACATGGAGATCGATCCCGTAGTTAAAGTGTCATGTTCGTCTATGAATCTTGGTGTCAGCCTCAAAGCCGATGAACGCGAAGGTAATAGTGTATGGGCGAAGATTTTCTGTTATGTTTCCCTAAATAGTATAGGTAATGAATGATTCCAGTAAAAGACGAAATTTTGATCCAGACAAGAAGAACAAAATCTATTACCATCGCTGGAAAGAGCATCTTAAAATGAGTAAAATTGCAAAGTTTGGTTGCGAAATGTTGTAAAATGAGGAAAATATAGCCATGTGAAGTTTCGCAAATTTTGAATATATTTGCATAACGCGCGGGAAAACAGGGCGCGAAATAACGGCTGGAGGGACGCCGGTCAAGGTGACCGGCCAACTCAATTTTAGCTCGGACATACCGTATTTCTGGCCGGTCATATTATTCAGCTTAAAGCAAAGCCTAGTAAAGTATATCCCTAAAAATGTGACTATTTTCCCATATAGCATTACAAAAAGCCTTACTGTAATCAGTAATTAAAAAGTCCTTCACATAAAACAACTTGCACTGTACTAACTAATAATTAACTCTTAAGCCAAAAGCATGGCCATGGGCTTTAATTGTGACGTACTGCGTGGGAAAACTGGCGTACATTGCATTTATTTTCCCGCAAGATATTGGACAACATGTTATGGTTCTTAATTATAATGCTTGACAACTTTGTTTTGATTATTAATTCAAATGAAGATTAGTTGTTTGTTCTTTTACCAAAAGTAATCGGTCAAAATGACCGGCAAGGTAAGAATTTGACCGGACAATTTCGCATTCTGGCCGGACATTGTCCGTTGACCGGCCGTTATTTCGCGCCCTGGAAAATAACCATTTTTGAGCCGAAAGTGCTTATTTTTACCGCGCGTAATGCAAATATATGCAAAATTTGTGAACTTCACAGGGCTATATACAGTACATTTTCTTCATTTTACAACATTTAGCAACCAATCTCTGCGGTTTTACTCATTCTAAGACGCTCTTTCTACAGTAGCTGTGGTGTTGGATTTCGTTCTTCTTGCCTTGATCAAAACTTAGTCTATAGCCGGAATCACCCACTGTAAGTATACAAAGTGTCGCGCACTTATTTCAATGTGATCTGTGTGATGCGGATTATATAGATTAAATGACACGATTTCTGCCAGAGGGCCTGTAGTTGTATTTTTTTTTGCAAAACTGCTCCTGGTTAGATCTAATAAATGTGTATTATTATACGGCAAGCATTTGTTTTGATGAATCGCGCAATTTGATTGGCTTCTGATGAGGCAGGATTTTCCCACGCAATTTTTTTGCCCCGCGACAAGAGCCGAGTTTCAAACGGAAAAAAGTGTCTAAAAGTCTTTCAAAACTATTCAAAACGAAGAAAAATAAACCTAAACTAAAGAAAAGGAGCACCTTCTTTGGTTAAAGAACTTTCTCAATATGTTTTTGTTAGCGAAAGTCGAAATTACAAGGTAAATTTTACAATGTTTATAACTATTACTGTCGTTCCAATTGAAGTGTTGCTAAAATATTGATTCAATACATTACCTCGGGCTGACCAATTCATTTGATCAAGTTCCTCGAGATATTCATACACTTCCTGTGAAAGAGCCAATTCCAAGTATTTGATCATTTCTGGTCACTTCCTTTCTATTTATGATTGGTTAGTTGCACAAACAACAAAGGTGATTGGTGCATTCAAACTATTCAACAGGAAGTTTACAATTATACTAGGAAGTTTATGAATATCTCGAGGAACTTGATCAAATGAATTGGTTAGCCCGAGGTAATGTATTGAATCAATATTTGAGCAACACTTCAATTGGAACGACAGTAAAGAAGTCAGGAATAGCTGTGTTTTGACTTTGTGAAGAGCTGCAAATCTTATTTGCAGATAGCCGAGGAATTTGACACCATCCTAAATAAAAAATACAACTAAAGCAGCCACAGATTTATATTTTTTCCCTGAAAATTTCTGTTTTTTTTCGATAAAAAGAGATATATTTATGAGATGAAGCGAACTAAAACCGTACTTGTCCATACTGTTTATTAATTTTATTGTTTCATATTTGTTGTCTTTGTCTTTGATTAAATGACGAAATACCTCGTATTTTTCTTGAAATACTATCCAACTGTGTTAGTATTCTATATAAAAAGTGCTGTAGAGTAGTTTTACTAACCAAGCTTGAGAACATTTTTTACAATTGTTCTTTTTTGCAAATGTTTCGGACTTTGTACTTTGCCCTCGCGTGACCTTTTTTACCCATTTTTTACAAACGTACAATGCCATATAATATAAAACTTACTGACCTCAACCGTTCGGGCAGTACGGGAAAATATCCAACCTCGGTCTTGCTGTATTGACCTCGCTATCGCTCGGTCAATACAGCAAGACCTCGGTTGGATATTTTCCCGTACTGCCCTCACTCTCGGTCAGTAAGTTATTAAAATTCCACTCGAAATTTGCCATCTACAAAGACCTTCGACACAGGGAAGGCCGTGTTGCAGGGGTGGAAAAAGTATCGGACCATGGGACCATTGGTCCCAGAAAATTGTTTGAGTTCCCAGAAAATATTTGCAAGAAAGAAAAAAAGATAATTGTAGAAACTTAGACAAAGGGAGAAATTCAGAGGACACATTCTGCCCAGAACCCAATAGAAAGAATGTTACCTACAGGTACTGTATGTATGACCTCAGAAATGCTAGTAGAAGCACATCTATCTTACTAGTGCAATAGTGGATAAATGTAGAGACTATAGAATGATGTAACAAATGTGATATGGCAAATGTATTTTTAGCCAATTTGAGACACCTGATTTTCAAAATTTTCTGGGGCACCATGCTTGCAGACCCCCCTAGTAGTGCCCATTTTTTGGCATCTGTAAATTTACCTTAGGATCAGTCCCCGGATGTGTGTTATCTAAATTAGTTTTATGTTATATACGTTAAATATATAGCATGACATTAAGTTTGACAACTTGTTAGTGTTACACAGTTACAGTGTGCGAGTGTCGATTGACTTGATTATTCGCAGAAAATGTTTCAATGTTCTCTTGTGGTCCCAGAAAGTGAAATAATTTTTCCACCCCTGCCGTGTTGGCCGTGTTATCACGGCCAAAAATGGAAAAACACGGCTAGATAAAATGAACGCTGCTTCATTATTTATATAAGGCCGTGTACGTTCATAAAATAAGATGGTGCTACTTACAACAGACATAATTTCTTTCTATTTACGTCATAAGAAAGTTTGTAAAATCTATTGTTGTTGTTGAAATTAGCAAAAGTGATCCGTGATGTTTTAATGTTTTGATGGATAATGGTAACCGTATGGTGTTAAAGTGGTTTTAAGTTTTAAATACCCCCAAGAGTTGCTGAAATAACTTAATGTCTTAATGTCAGTGCGCAATATGAGTATATGTTCGCCTTGTATTTGGTTGCAAAGCATAGAACAACCACAGGCATTGTCCGTTGTTGTAGAACCGTGAATTTGGATATGCAAGGTAATTGACATGTGCACACCCTGGTTATTTAGAAACACGCCCAAGATCTAAAATCCTAGCTAAGACCCTGCTTCGACATCAGTTGTATCAAGTGAGATGCACCCATACACCTTACATTGGCATGTCCTCAGTATTTATACATGAACGTGTGGTTAGAGCTCGACAACTGTCTCTCTGTAGCTCAGTTGGTTAGAGCGCTGCACCAGAATCACAGGACCACAGGTTCGATTCTCGCCAATGGTTGCACTTTCCGCAACGACTCCTGATTAGATCTAATACATCTTAAATCATTCTACTCGAGATTTCAACACAGATTTTGGACTTGTATTTTTTTAGATTTTTGTCAACGTATAGCGGCAAACCTTCATCTCTGTGCCATCACTATAGCAACAAGTATTGATGATAAACTACGTTCTTTTCTACTTCCGTACGATGCGTCCATAGATTTGGAATTGTTCTGTAGTTCACCATCAATTTCTCAAGATACGTACTGGTAAGCATAACATACAGTCGAAACAGCACTGTATCCGTATTAGAGAGCTGGGTCTGTTTTGGAGGTATCCGTTTTAGAGAGGTGTCCGTATTAGAGAGGTGTCTGTATTAGAGAGGTATCCGTATTAGAGAGGTATCCATATTAGAGACGTGTCCGTATTAGAGAGGTGTCTGTATTAGAGAGGTATCCGTATTAG